TCTGCTTCACAACCACTATTGTACGTTCAAAGAGTTAAATCCGGTTTTATTTTTGGGGTGCTTATTGAATTAAAGAGTATGTCAGACAACACGCAGAGGAGTGGCAGAGGAGGCAATGTTTCAGGAGCGAGCAGACGTGGCAGCAGAGGAAGGGGTCGAGGCAGCACTAGTCGCAGCCAGAGGCCAGTGCTCCCGGTGTCATCCAGCGGTCGTGTCTCCACCGACAACCCTGCCGTCATCGATTGGTTGACTCGGTCGTCTTCCTCTTCCCAGGTCACCTCTGACACCTACAGCCAACGGTCGGTGGGTACGTCAGACACAACCGTTAGTTGGCATGGCCCGGGAGCAAGCCCACTGAAATCACGTGTCCTCGACCTGCCCCTGTCCTTTGGTGTTCCCTCACCAAGCGAAGTATCGCATGCTGTGGGCTCAGCCCCACTGTACAGTGAGGAAGAGCTAACAGAGGGTGGTCAGGAACGGGGGGAGACATCCGCCTCTTCAGCAGCCAGGCGAAGAAGTACTGGCGAGGAGGAGAGTGGCTCGGTAGCCGGTCTAGAGACAGTCTGTCTCCTGACCCACACGCAGCCGAGGGGGCTAGTAGTGACGCGGAGACCCTAATTGATGATGATGATGCTGATCGCACTTGGCAGCCTCGTCGTCATCAGGCTATTGCTTCCGCATCATCAGGAGAAGAGGGTGCCAGCTTGCCAGCGAGCAAAACAGTCGGTGGGTTGCCCAGGAGGCAGCAGGGTCGCAGCAGTGTCAGTGGAGCCAAACGGCCACGGAGTAGAGCACCAGCTCCACTGCAGCCTACCACCACGGCCAGTAGTGGTGCCGGTGTGCACGGAGGAAGTAGCAGTCAGCCAGTGAGGAGTAGCGGGGGCAAAGTTTCCTCTCGGCGGTGTGGCAATTTTTCGTCAAGCCGCCCGAGGAAGTAAACGTAGCCGTATGTCGACTATGTGGCCAGAAAGTCAAGCGTGGCCAGGGGGCCCATGTTGGGACTACAGCGTTGCGTCAGCATATGCAGCGTCGCCATTCGGTGGCCTGGGAAAACCGTGATAAAGATACGGCGGCGGTTCTGCCTGCCCCAGCCCCCGCTCCATCACCCGCTCCGTTACTTGCTCCGTCACCCGACGTCAATCGCCCTCTATCAGCCAGTCAAGGCTCCAACACCTCTGCTGAGGGGAGTTGTCGCTCGTTGGCATCTTCCGCTCGTTCAGATGCTCCTTCTCCTGCTACTCCTCTTCACGGATTCCGTCAGCAGTCTTTCTTGGAATCCGTTTCCAAGAGACAACAGTTTGCGAGCACGCACCCGACGGTGCAGAAGCTGAACGTCCTCCTGTCCAAGTTGCTGGTGCTGCAGTCCCTCCCTTTCCAAGTGGTGGACTCAGCACCTTTCCGAGAAATGATGGCTTGTGCCGAGCCGCGGTGGAGAGTGCCAAGCCGGCATTTCTTCGCCAAAAAGGCAGTGCCAGCCCTGCATTCACATGTAGAAGAGATGGTGGGCCAGTCTTTGAGCATGTCGGTCTCTGCCAAAGTGCACGGCAGCGCCGACGTGTGGAGCTGTAACTACGGTCAGGGACAGTACATGTCATTTACGGCCCACTGGGTGAACGTGGTGCCGGCACAGCCGCACCAGCAACTTGGACAGGTCACGCCGCTTTTGCCTCCACGTTTGCACGTCCTTGGTCCAGCAAAGATGTCCGCCTCTACCACCTCTTCTTCCGCCGTGTCCTCAGCCGCCACCCCCCCCACCCCCGTGCCAAGTCCCATTACCCCGACCGGCATATCACATGTGCAGGGCGCAACGGTGTCACGCTGTGCTGCACCTGGTATGCCTTGGCGAACGTAGTCACACAGGGGAGGAAACTTCTGAGTGTAATGAACAGAGAAATCGACAGATGGCTGTCTCCGCGCAAACTGAAAATCGGAACCATGTTGACCGACAACGGAAAGAACATGGTGTCTGCTCTGCGTCAAGGAAGGTTGTGCCATGCGCCATGCATGGCTCACGTGTTCAATCTGGTTGTCAAGCGGTTCCTAAAATCCACCATCCCACTGCAAGACATCCTTAAAATGTCACGTAAACTTTGCATGCATTTCAGCCATTCCTACACCGCAAAGCACACCCTCCTTGAGCTGCAGCGGCAGAACGGAATTCCACAGCATCGCCTGATCTGCGACGTTGCAACAAGGTGGAATTCAACCCTACATATGTTAGACCGCCTTTACGAACAGCGAAAGGCCATCACCGATTTCCTGATGTTACAAGCGGATAAAGGTACTCCCCTGTGTAACTTAGATGTCAGCCATTGGCAGCTCATGCGTGACACCTGCCGCTTGCTCAGGCCCTTTGAGGAGGCCACGCTATTCGTGAGTCGGCAGGACTATGGGATGAACGACGTCATTCCTCTGTTGCACGTCCTGGAACAAATGCTGTTAACAATGGCTGGTCAGGGTGCGGTAGACGTGGCGCACAGATCTCAACGCCACATGACCCCTGTGGGGGCAGGACAGGAAGAAGAGGAGGAGGTAGAGGAGGACATTGGTGCTCAGGAATTATTGAGTGAAATGGGTGGTTTTTCCACTCAGCGGACAGGAGTGGAGGAGCAGGAGCATCTGGTAGAGGAGGAGGAGGAGACAGAGGACCCAGACGCACCGTGGCAGTATGCTGTGGAGATGGAGGCAGGGAGTCCCTCGCATTCCTTGGCACAAATGGCCCATAGCATGCTCGCTTGCTTGCGTAGCGACAGCCGAATAATAACCATCAGACAGAGGGATGACTTTTGGCTGTCCACCTTGTTGGACCCTCGCTACCGTTCAAAAATGGTGGCCTTTTTCACACCTGCTGAGAGGGAGGCCAAAATAAACGTACTATAAAAACCACCTATGTAGTCAGTTGGTCTCTGCCTTTCTGCGCCAACGTCCATCCTCAGACACTGTGGGCCCTGTGCGCTCGCGTTCCGCTGCCATGGCAGCAGGGGAGGGGTGGGGGGGTAGGAGCAGTGGCAGCTCCACCAGCAGCGGCTGCCCTCAGTCTGCAGTCGATGATGAGTAGCTTTCTTCACCAGCGCAGTGAGGAAACTACTAACCAGCCGCAGCAGCAGCAGCAGCATCAGGTGGACCTGGAGCAGGACCTCAAACAACAGGCTTGGGCCTACTTGGACAGCACCCTGCCAACCGAGGTAGACAATCCCCTTGACTACTGGGCAACGAAACTTGACCTTTGGCCCCAACTAGCTGAATTTGCCCTTGAAAGGCTGTCATGCCCGGCCAGTAGCGTGGCATCGGAGCGCGTGTTTAGTGCGGCAGGAGGTATTGTAACTCCGCGGAGGACACGACTGTCCACCCAAAGTGTGGAGAGACTCACGTTTGTGAAAATGAATCAAGCGTGGATTAGTCTGGATTTCAAACCACCAGTTCCTGACACAACTGACTAAATCCGCCATGAATCATGCCCCAAACATGTTATTAGGGACAAATGGAAGACCTCCACCTGATCCGTACATTTGTATATATATTTTATTGAGAGGCTGCTGGTCGGCCGACTCATGTTTTGCACATTTTTAATGACTTATACTCTGCAGGTCGGGCCCCTCATGAATTGGGGTTTTTTAAATTATTTATACTTCGCTGGACGACCGTCACATGAATTGAACCTTTTTAATGACTTATACTCTGCTGGTCGGGCCCCTCATGAATTGGTGTTTTTAAATTATTTATACGTCGCTGGACGACTGTCACATGAATTTAAACTTTTTAATTATTTATAGTCGACCAGTTCCAGACCGATGGAATAGCAATTTTTTTAAATATTTATTTGACACGTGTTGTCCATCTCATCAATGAGGTGGACTGTTTATTTATTGGCCACGGTTTGGCCCCCTCCTGTTTCTTACATTGTTAACTTGTTGTATCGGTCACGGTTTGGCCACATGTTTGGTTGTCTTGTTAAGATTTTCTGTAATGTACACAGTTACGCTTGACTTGTCGACTTTCCACAATCTACTAAGGTATAGCATCGCATCAAAGTTTTTTTTTTTTTTTTTTGTCTAAACCATTTCTTATAATGTCAATTTGTAGGATACGCCGCTGTAAGGCGACCTACTTTTTTGTCACTGTGTAGACATCTATTTATAGGCCGATGTTTGGCCAGAAAGATATATTTAGTAATAACCTAGCCGTTCAAGCCGCTCACTGAACACCTCGGGAATTGCTTTGTATATCTGTCGCCTTAGGGGCCGCTGTCTGGCGACATATATTTTTTTTGTCACTGTGTAGACATCTATTTATAGGCCGATGTTTGGCCACAAAAATATATTTAGTAATAACCTAGCCGTTCAGGCCGCTCCCTGAACACCTCGGGAATTGCTTTGTATATCTGTCGCCTTAAAGGCCGCTGTCTGAACAGCTCATGAATTGCTTTCTATATGTGTCGCCTTTGAGGCCGCTGGCTGGACAGCTGATGAATTGATTTGTATATATGTACTTATTGTCCGCTGTCCGGACAGCTCATGAATTACTTTTTGTATATAGCCTTCCAAACCACTCTCAGAATAAGTCATGATATTCATGCTGTGTATAGCCTTATAGGCCAATGGTCAATCAAGTCATGATTGTTATATAGTGTGTATAGCCTTATAGGCCGCTGTCTTTACAACTTTATAATTCCATGCAGTATATAGCCCTATCGGCCACTTTCTGGCATCCAGTTGCTGTAGCCCCCATCACCACACTGTGCCACGGGCCCCTGTACCGCCTTCTCATACTGCTGCCAGATCCATCCTCTGCCATGTGCGTCTTTGTCGTCTGCTCACGCTGCTGGGTTCCAGTTTTAAACCTAGGCCTGTGTGTATGGCTTCCGAATACTGCTGCCTCCACCGCCACACACCTGCGCCATGTGCCTCTGTCGTCTGCTCACGCTGCTGATGGCTTCCGCTTTTTAAACTAGTCCTGTGTATGTCTTCCGAATACTGCTGCCTCCACCGCCACCCTGCGCCATGTGCCACTTTCGGGTCTCCTCACACTGCTGCCAGGTCCATACTGATTCATGGCCCCCTGTACCGGCTCCTCATGAACGTGGTTCAGCGGGTTTGCATCACTTAACGGCAAATCGTTGACAAATGCTGGGACGTTCAGTGTTGTGCGCATTAAGCCAGACACCAAAGGGCAGCACAGACCTGTTATTACTCGCTCAAGCATGGCTGAACAAAACCAGTCTCTACCACAAATTGGACCCAGACCTGCCCAGGGTCTCGTAACTAGATTGCACGGAGGAGTAGAGTCCGTTATCGGAATTAAATAGACAAAACGCCACACCAAAAAGAGTGGCCATTTCCAACACTTATTCCAGAAAGAGGAACAACCCGTTTCATATACGGCCCGTAGACGTTTCACGTCTGCCACATTCAGTCGATTTAAGACGCAAACTCCACTTCCTGTGGTCTCTGACCGTCGATATACCTTTAAGTGTCAGCTTTGAAGCTATATTCCCTCCGGAGCACTGACACTGGTGCCCTTCCGTCAACATGACTTTAAGTTTCAGTTTTCAACCATATTCCCCACAGAAGCCAAACTCTTGGGTATCCCAGAAGCTGCTCAGCGGGTCAGGGCAATAAAGCTCCCGGTTTCGCAGGTTGTTCCGTCTTATGGATGGAAGTACGACGGTATATGATCTTCTTCGCACCCACGGCATTACCTCATAAAATTTCTGCATTGCATCTGCAATCACAATGCTGACTTCCCGGATCGCCACTCTGCAGCCATTGGACTCTTGATAGTCGTCTCCCCACACTGCTGCTGGGGGGACTTTTTAACCTAGGCCTGTGTATGGCCTTCAATTGAAGCTGCTTCCGCTCCGCCACTCTGCCATTGGACTCTTGATAGTCGTCTCTCCATGCTGCTGCTGGGGGGGACTTTTTAACCTAGGCCTGTGTATGGCCTTCAATTGAAGCTGCTTCTGCTCCGCCACTCTGCCATTGGACTCTTGATAGTCGTCTCCCCACACTGCTGCTGGGGGGACTTTTTAACATAGGCCTCTGTATGGCCTTCAATTTAAGCTGCTTACGCTTCGCCACTCTGCCATGGGCCCCTGTACCGCCTCCTCTTGCTGCTGCCAGGTCCAGAGTGTGTCATGGGTCCCTGTACGGCCTCCCATTGCTGCTGACTTCATCGCCAGACCCTGCCATGTGCCACTTTCAGGTCTCCTTACACTGTTGGTGGGTTCCATTTTGTGATAGGGTGCTGTATGGGCTTCCATTGCTGCTGCCTCCACCGCCACCCTGCGCCATGTGCCTCTGTCGTCTGCTCACGCTGCTGACGGCTTCCGCTTTTTAACGAGGCCTGTGTTTGGCTTCCGAATACTGCTGCATCCACCGCCACCCTGCGCCATGTGTCTCTGTCGTCTGCTCACGCTGCTGACAGCTTCCGCTTTTTAACCTAGGCCTGTGTATGGCTTCAGAATAATGCTGCCTACACCGCCACCCTGCGCCATGTGCCTCTGTCGTCTGCTCACGCTGCTGCCAGGTCCATACTGATTCATGGCCCCCTGTACCGGCTCCTCATGAACGTGGTTCAGCGGGTTTGCATCACTTAACGGCAAATCGTTGACAAACGCTGGGACGTTCAGTGTTGTGCGCATTAAGCCAGACACCAAAGGGCAGCACAGACCTGTTATTACTCGCTCAAGCATGGCTGAACAAAACCAGTCTCTACCACAAATTGGACCCAGACCTGCCCAGGGTCTCGTAAGTAGATTGCACGGAGGAGTAGAGTTCGTTATTGGAATTAACTGTGAGGGACTTTTAAACCTAGGCCTGTGTATGGCCTTCAATTGAAGCTGCTTCTGCTCCGCCACTCTGCCATTGGACTCTTGATAGTCGTCTCCCCCCGCTGCTGCTGCTGGGGGACTTTTTAACATAGGCCTCTGTATGGCCTTCAATTTTAGCTGCTTACGCTCCGCCACTCTGCCATGGGCCCCTGTACCGCCTCCTCATGCTGCTGCCAGGCCCGTAATCTGCCATGGGCCCCCGTACCGACTCCTCATGCTGCTGCCAGGCCCGTAATCTGTCATGGGCCCCTGTACTGCCTCCTCATGCTGCTGCCAGGTCCAGAGTGTGTCATGGGTCCCTGTACGGCCTCCCATTGCTGCTGTCTCCATCGCCACACTCTGCCATGTGCCACTTTCAGGTCTCCTCACACTGCTGGTGGGTTCCATTTTGTCATAGGGTGCTGTATGGCCTCCCATTGCTGCTGCCTCCACCGCCACACTGTGGCTCCACACTCTGGTTTTGGCCCCGTGACTGCCCAAATGAGTGAAGTGTGCGGTGATTCTAAGATCGACGGCACTCATCTGCATGTCATACTGACTGACAGTATTATTTCTCTCTTCCCCAGCAGACTCCAAGGGCATTTAAATTAAAGGTACAGTGTTCTGCACTAATATAAAGGCTCTCTGAAGCCTAGAAACACCCTTTTTATAAGTTAAATTCGCAGCGAATATATTCGGCTCGAAGCAAATTTATTCGGCGAATTCGGCGAATCAGCCGAACCGAATTTTTGAATAATTCGCTCATCTCTAATTCCAATACATAAAAACATTACATGTGTTTATAAAACTATTTCTATTAATATTCCTTTTACTTTGTTTAAAAAAATGATATCTACATTTATGAGTAAAAATAAACTTGCAACATTTGCCTAATTAAATGTAGCTATGCCTGTATATGTCATACATCGTTTTTTTTTTGTTCAGGCTATGGTCTAAAACATCTATATTTGTCATCTTTAACTCTTCCAAAAACATTTCTGCTTGTTACAGAGAATATTATGACTTTTTCCTGTTTTCCTGCCAAAACCAAGCTTAAAGGTGAACAGAAAGCCCACCTTACTGCCTTAGGGGATCATATCTGCCAAATGTTCATGAATTTTTATGTCTGTCATCTTGTGCTCTAACTGAATGCAAATACTCAGTTCTTACTGTGGGAATTCATGCTGGCACTTATTCACCACTTAAAGAAAAGGCTCTAGTCAAATTAGTTTAACTTGAGCAAACATTTAATTTTAATACTGTCTTAGGAATAACAACCACCCAAAAGCTTTGGCCAGCCGCAGAGAATTTCTAAACTATCTAAGTTGTCTATAAAAATTACATGTAAATACATTTAAAAATTAAATTATTAAAAAAAATTTTAAATAATGAAGCTGCATATAGAAAAATATTGATGGCCCTGTAAACTGGCAAAGCGAGTCTTGGGCAAGCATGTATACTGATATTTTGAGGTGGAAATTGGCCCTCTAGAAGTCTATGGGGATCCACTGTGCAGGTATGGCCAGCACAGAGAAGATTTTTGCTGCAGGCTTGCAATATTCCAGTGGACATCTGTGGAAGGCAGCAGACATCTAGGGTGGGGGATGTCGAGGTGCAGATTAGATAATTTGTTTGAACGTGCACTAACACTGTGTTTTTATTGTGGAATATGAAGGATGAATAAGAAGTACAGTCCTTTACCTTTCCTGTTCTTGTTGGCTTTAGAAAAAACATTAATTCTCATAGAACTATGATAAACACTCTACACCAGAAAAGATATAAGATTTGCAAGGTTTCACAAGGTCAGATAGTTTCTGGTAAACCTTTGTTAACAACTTGAGTCCCAAGCAGGGGCGGACTGACAATTCATGGGGCCCCCGGGCAATAGGGGATCATGGGGCCCCTGTGTCCTTGCCCAAACTCAAAAAAGCCTATGAAAAAGGTACCAGGGGCATCTCATGAGGCCCCCTACTGACCCCGGGCCCTCAAGCAGTGCCTGAGTTTCCAAATGATCAGTCCGCCACTGGTCCCAAGCTTTTTGATCTCTGTTATTTTAAAGAGAGAAAAAATATATTCCCACACACCTTTGGAGCTCACTTACATCTGTGTCTGTTTGCTCTATTTGACAATATATGCTGTTAAGAGTATGCTATTTTATCAGGTAAAGAGGTTGGCAATCTCCAGTAGTAGTAGGGGCTTGCCAGAGAGGGATCAGTTTTAAGCAATTAGCCAGTTTGAATATGTATTGTAATTCATGCAAACTAAGAAAGAGCTTGCAATGAAACATGTGGTTACACGTCTTTAGTATCCCAAGTGTTTTATATATGTAAGCCTGAACACAGGCATACAGTATCTCCATTTCTACTGCATAGTGCAAGTCAATAGTTAAAAGAGCAGGGGTGCCTAAAGTTACTGGATTATTCTTTGATGGAGCAATGCATTATGCTCATTGTAGTACAACCCCCCTCTATTTTTTACACTTTTTAACACCTTTCTTTACACATTTGTTTTGGAGGGGGGCTAACCAACCTTCTATGCAGCTGTGCAACAAATCACATATAATAGTGATCTATTGCTGGCTGAACTCAACCAGTAAAAACACTATGGGAGTTACCTTCTAGTGCAGGGAGAGGCATGTACAGTACATGCTGCTTCAGCTCTGCCTAGGAGGAAGTGCTGTGATGTCACGCATGATGTCATTTCACTTCCAATGTTTGGGTCTGTGTTTGCTTTAATGTGCTACAGATCATTTGTTACTGGGTGCTGACTGTCATTGGAAACCAAAAGTTATTGCCGGCAACCTGGCTGAAATCTAAGGAACCACTTGTCACGTACCTTACTTGTGAGCCTGATGGCAGGAGGAAGGCCTCTCGTACAGCTACGGTTCAAGGGCCACTGAAGGTGGAACAGCAACCACAAGAGCACGGCGGGGTATGAGTGCCTGTTTGATCCAGTAGTCTGTGCAGGGATTGCTGGCACTTTGCTGGGAGATGGGATGGATGGACTGGCTGGCGGCAGCGCAGCCTGGCAGCAGAGTAGGCAGGCAGGCAGTGAAGCAGGCTGGTAGCAGACTGTATGCAGGGTCAGACAAGCCGGGTCGGTAACAGAGAAGCGGAGCAGACATGAACAGTAAACAGGAGAATAGTCAGGTCACAAGCCAGGGTCAGTGTTCGTCGGAGCAGATCAGGCAGAATCAGAAGGCAGAGGGAGAGTCCAAGAAACAAGCTGGGGTCAATCACAGGTAATCAGTCACAGGAACAGGATCAGGCACAGGAATACAGGAGGGGGAGCTGCAGATCAGACAGCACATTAGCAACGGGCTGTCGAGTGTGTGCGTGTGCGCATGTGTGAATGCAAATGCACACGACTATGAGCAGCAGAAAGGGCCCAGGCACTATGGCGAGCATCTTCCTGACACCACTGCTCTGACATCTCTGTATCTTTTACAATGGCACCTGTTGCTCAAGCGGTTAAGGACTAATCTGTTTTCTTTTTATTTATGGTTACAGTGCTATAATTTGTCTGGAACTTTACTCAGAAAATTAAGTCCTTCTAGATCACTTCAGGCTGGCCCCCATTTTGCAGGTATAGCAAATGTAAAACATTAAAAATAGGTGCCTATACTTTTTAAAATCCAGTAATACACTGACTCACCTTCCTCTGCACATGCTCAGTTGCTCTCTATTTTTTAGCACTGCTGAAAAATCTGCTGACAGCCTAAAGATTTAGTGTTGTTCAGGAGCTCTGGGCTTCAGCAAGATGGCAGGCTCCAGCAAGAAGAAACAGGAACAATATATAACATGCAAATTTTGGTAGCATAATTATTAATGTGTAATGTACAGTATGTTCCTTGCTAAAGAACAGTATTTTTTTAAACAAGTTGTTACGGGTAAAGTTCCATCTTAAGCATATTTCACAGTGCACTGTTTATAAAAACCTTAAAAGGATATGTCAGGCAAAAATAACATGCAGTACAGGTACTTTTTCTTTTTATCCCTTTAAATACTCTGCAAGTACAGAAAAATACCTCTTGAACCAACCAGAAACACAGTCAGCTGTTTTTGTACACTGACAAAACAAAGTATTTATGTACACTTTACTAAAGTACTCAAACTCACCATCTCATTCTTCACAACATACACAACACAACATAGACTAATTATTCTGTTGTTCCAAAATTACAACTAGGAAGGCTAAATAAAAGTCAAGTATGGGATTTACAAAATAACAAAAAAATCATACTCATCTAGGAGGATGCAACATCACCTTTGAGAACTGAGTGATCAAAGGCCACTGGTCACTCAGTTCTTGCTCTTCAGTGAGCAGAGTGGTGGCTGTCAGTCACTAGCGCTCTGCTCTGCCCTTCTAGCACTCACTGGAGTGGTGGGCTGTGGAGGGGGTGGGATCAGCTGGCTCAGGCTCTCAATGACGCCCTGAGAGGCAGAGATAGGCATCGGGTGGATCCTGACTTTAATGGACTGGAGTGGCTCAGAACGTAGTGCAATCCTGTGATCCATAGGAGACATAGGGCAAAAAATTTTTGGCCCTACCTCTCCTATAAGACTCCTTAAAGTACAACGTAGTAATAATTCCTCAGCATTTTATAGCTTAACACATTGGGCACAATAAAATAAACGTTCCCCATTAAACTATTTGCACTTTCACTTTACAACTTTCAATGCTGTTGGCTCCTGCTCTCCTAGTGCTGTTTCCTCGAACTTCACAGGAAAGAGTTAATAGTAGACATTGCGGTGTTATATCTGTCTGTTAGCTTGGAGAGGGTATGTGGGGGAAGAAGGGAGGAGCATAGTTATATATTTAGTCTGGTTGAAAAAATACACAAGTTCATCCAATTCAACCCACAAAGAAAAAAATACACACAAATAGAAAACGTCCTTAGAAACAAGCCTATACTCGCAGTTGATCCAGAGGAAAGAAAAAAGAACCCTATAACCCACAAATATATTTTAAAAAATATTCTTCCCTAACATATTGACATATGTTTGAAATACTACAATTGTGGCCGTATTATATATATATATATATATATATATATATATATATATATATATATATACTGTATGGTGAAATGCTTTTTTTTATATATTACAAAGTATATGAAAAATACATTTTCAATTATACTGTATGTCTTTAAAAATACATTTAATCTACATTTTTGGAATGCATTTTTAAAATATATTTAAAATATATTTTTCTTCCATGTGGGAAAGCATGATCCAATTTGCTCCAATGGGAGAATAAACCCTTTCTGATCCCCTAAGAGGGAATTAGATATTCCCTTGATCAACTTTACCTAGAAATATTAGTATCCAGTTATATTATGTGTATCTAGGAAAGAATCCATGCCTTTTTAAAAAAAACAATCTACTGAACTAGCCAGACCCAGCTCTTGAG